ATCGACCTTCGACCTGACCAGTGACGTCATCGGTTTCACCTAGGTCATGTGGTAGTTGTCCGATGGCTCGCTGTTTGAATGTTGAAAATCGGTCGGCAACTTTCCAAGGTCTTGGGGGGGGGGGGGACGAAATACCCCATCCCTCCTCCCCCAACGGATGGTAGAGCCCGGGAATAACCCAGCGGGGCACGGGTTAAATAAAAGTTCAGAATTGACCACCAATATTCCTTGAGGTAAATAATACCCCGTTTACCGACATTCCATCCCGCCGGGGGACATCTCCTTTCTGACTCTGGTACTTAGTCTGATGCAATTTGTTCAGTTCACCTAGTGCAGGAGATTCGTCTCCGTCTCACAGCTCTTTATGGTAGGTCAGTGACTGCTGGATTCCCAGTCAAATCATTGCCCTCATTTGTCAATGATCGGGCGGACCGTGCTGCGGAAGCGGAACACGCGGCGGAGCGGTGCTGTTCGCGCCGGTTCCCTCGACCCGCCAGGGATTTTTTTTTCCGGCGGTGAACTCCTTAACCCGGCAGTTGCTGGGGTATTTCGCCACCCACCGTTTGCTGGGGGGGGGGGGGGCGTTAAACGCCCCCAGCCGATAACTCGAGAACCAATAGGCGCAGCGAAACGCACGAGGCGGCAAATGAAAGAGCGCGACGAGACGCTTCAGATGAGTACTTTAAAGTTGAATTTTGAGGTCACAGGTCGGGTCAAGGTCAGGTCAAACACCTGAAATCGGGCTTTCAGTAGCATGGACTTCAGGACTTCGCAATGGGCGCCTCTCGCCATAAACTCTGTCAAAACGGTGCACAATCCATCTTATAAGGCCTACAAGAGTGTCAGCTCCATGTAGGGGTCAGTCAAGCATAGGTCAGGGTCAAGGTCAGGTCAACCGGGTAGGCACATATCCCCGAAAATCAAAACTGATATTCGCAGCCTGTGACACATGTTTTATAGGTAATTTGGGGCGTAGAACACGATGGTGACATTCATTTTATCATATGTGTACGTGTTTGGCTCAAAAAGTTCAATTTAATAAATTCATGTATCATGGTCGTGAAGTAGTCACGAAAAATTGCCAAGATTCAGTTCAAGATTATGGAAAATGCGGAACGATAATCAATAATCGAAGATAGCCATTTGATTGATCATGGTATTGGCAGTCTAATGGCGTTTACGGCATGTCTGTATGTCTATTCTGTGATTTTATATGATTTTTTGAACATATACCGTTTTTGGTCGAAAACTCAGAAATCATGACGTCACTAAAACCTCGATATCTCAAAAATTTTCCGACCGATTTTTTTGAAACTTTGTCACAATAACCTTCAATCAATTCCCTACAGGTACCCAAAATTTGGCGCGCCTGCGGCGCGCCGTTTTTATGCTATGGCCCGGCGAAAAAAGTGGGGGCGTTTAACGCCCCCCCCCCCCAGCAACTCGCGGGCTATGCTACTGGAAGTGGCAAGAAGCCTGGAGCGATTGCCAAGGGGAACAAGCTCCCGCACGCGCCATAAAGCCAGTGTTCGGGTCCGCGCAAAATATTTTGCAGCGGTGAAGTCACACATGGGATGACATCAGCCGCCTAGCTCCGCCCCCTCTCTAGGTTTGGCAGTCTAGCCGCCTGCCTCACGTAGGGTGCGACGAGAAGAGAGGTCATCTCTCTCTCTCTCTCCTGCCGGTTTCGCACCGCGCGGTAACCACGGATGACGGACATCTTATTACTTGCCGCTCGAGAACGAGATGTGCGAGATGCGATGCCGGGCTGTCAGACACGTTTTGGTTGAGTGACCGAGCCTGAAAGCTAAGCGGTTGCGGCTTTTGAGCTTGCGTGAGTCCAGCGGTCCGATATTTCTTTGATAACGATCCTAGGTTGCGGATCTTCTTTGCGCGACTCTTCTCATCTCTTTTCGCCTAATACGCTGTGCAGTGTGCCCCTCCCCCCAATACACTGAGGAAGTAAGTTAGATATAGCTAGCACGATAAAGCCTCGTTGCTGGTGCGTCGCCGTCCTATCAAACCAACTCATGAAATCATCATAGTGTTCTGAGTGAGATAACGATCTTATAATTTAGCGCTGCAAACTTAGCGGTGGTAGCTGCGTATTTACAAATTGCAACCGAGCTCCGCCGTAGGGTATTTTATTTCCGCCGTAGTGTATTTCACTTGGGGCATTTTCTACCATACATCTGCCTGAGCTTAGGGTAATTACAATTTGTCGGCGACGTTAAAAAATGATGCACTTTTTTTGCAGTATAGGATATCGCATGTGCATATTTCTGCCTTTTTGGGTGCGCTTTATCGGTTTTTCGTGAGTAACTCGTGTAAAAACCGTCCGATCGCGACGAAAATTTCAATGCCCCCGATTTTATCAATTTTACTCCTACCCTGAAAATTTCATGACCCTGACCTAAATGACCTTTGACCTGTGACCTATTTCTCGAGACCATGTTTGGCCCGAATCGCGATTCGGCGTATGTCGGATCGCATTAGCCGCGCGGTTGCAGTCTTCACGTGGTTTCAAGCGTTGAAACATGTGATATGATGCTGGTCCCATGCATTAGGGTGGGTGTCAAGGTCACCTGAAGGTCAGGTCAGCTCAATGACCTTTGATGACCTCGGTTCCTTTTTCGAGTTTTACATGTTTCTAGGCTAGTTTTTGGAGCTGATTTCGAATTTAGCAACTATTTTTTTTATTCAGGCCTCCCTCCAACGGGCTCTTGTGTTGTCCCAATTATAGGAGGAGGATTTGAACATTACAGGGGGTGTAACGAAATTATCCGGACACCTTTCTTCCCGCTGTAATTAAAAAGCAAAACAATCTGGTACTTTTTCTTTTAACTGAGCTTGTAGCCACCTTTCATAAAAACACAGTGGTGAACGTTCTGGAGCATTTCAGCCAATGAATTCTCCAGCACACTGGCTTTGATGCGGACCAACGCCGTCTAAACCTGTGCCTGCGGTTGAGCAGTGCTTATGGCGGGTGGCTCTTCATACACCTCCTGCTGAACAAGAGCCCACAGGTTTTCGATTGAATTGGGATCGCGACTTTTTCCAAGTCATAAGCGTTAGCCCAGAATGATTGAAGGTTCTATCGGCATCATTTCCCGTTCTTTTAGGGACTTTTAAGTAGCGCGCCGCCCCGCATGAAGACAGCGTGGCTTGAATCAGGCATCAGTGCGCGTTCAGAAATCGTGCCCTCCTATGCCGTCTGGTTGAGCGCCTCCAATCATGCTCCACCACCTTTCCTGGAAAAGATCCACCCTTGCCTATGGGGCAAAATATAAGGGACAAAAACACAAAACAAGACAGATAAAAACAAAGCAAAATTAACTCATTACCTAATGAAATTCAGGCTGGAGCAAAAACATAGGGAATAGGTATCTATGTCAAATTAGAATGAAAGATTAAAATCAACCTGACCAGGCCTTACGGTCTGACCTGGTCCTAACCACCTTACTTCGCCTAACTTAACCCAATTCAACCTAGCCTACCACAACACTGCAGAGGTACCTTCCCGGAAAAATGACGCCCAGGGAGGTGACTGTCCAACTTATTGGAATACTACCATGAATGCTTGTCAAAATGTGTGTCATCATGCTATTGTTTGACAAGTGATGTATAATAAATGTGATATTAAATAATTATCTCCTGACTGTTGACTGTTGAGTGGTCAAAATATTCAAATAATCAGGGTACAATGCTGTGCATAGTGCACACTAATCATGTTGTTTTTGTGTAGGCCCTCTGCACATTGTTGTGTGCACTGCTATGTGCACAAAAAAGTGACTGGTGCACAAAAAAATGACTGGTGGTACATGACAAAACAAAAGGTTGTGCAACTGTGAAGTTCATGCCCTTGGTCAAGCTGGTGCCAAATGCCTATAGCTATAGCAGGATCAGTGAGGGTTGTAGACATGCTAATACATTGTGCAATGTGCATTGAAGATATTGGCACAAAGTTCATCCGTAATTACTATGCTTAACACCTAATGTAGGAACTAGGAAGCGACATAAATGCCCAGATGATAAAACTCTCTGGTCAACATCACACAAATTTATTGACATACTTTGCAGGTACATATTTACATTCATGGCAAATAGGCACTTTCGATTTGATTCAGAAACTAGTTGCTAGTAAGCTTGCATTTTTGTAGGTACAACAACGACCATATATTAAATCATAAAAAACCTTCTCATGGCATTCAGCACATACCTTTTTACCGAACAAGTAGGTACCTAGCTAGGTACCATACAATGATTCTAAAAAACTTTCCGCAATCCATCTATGTCTCAACTCACAACTGACACAATGAATTTGAAATACCCTAACAAAACCTATTAACTGTACATAAGAAGAATGCAATACTACAAGAACTATGAATTTCTGAAGTTATTCTCACATGCTGGAATGTTGAAACTCTACTTTTGTCGTCCATTTCCACATTTGATTGAGCCATCATATCAAACTGTTTTCGTTCTTCAGTCACAAGCTTTCGCACAAATCTTGAATTTTTACGCATCATCTTGAACCATGCTCCAGTCTTTCCAACAAGGTAAAAGGTAACATTGAAGCAATTTTGATGTTACCTATAACAGCTTCAGATCATGATAGGCTTGAGGTTTGTTACACCATTTGCCAGACAAATCTCTACAAAATGTGTATCAATTCCCAAACTAAGTAATTGATCATATCAGTATTATGTTTATATAAAGAAACTCAAATAATCCATAAATTGTTATTGAAACACTCCCACTTCAAGAATTCACCAAGATTCTTATTGATATTCACAGCAAATATCAGTACAAATACAGAAGCAAACAAACATTGCGCCAGATTTCGTATGAAACGCGCCATCGTCCTGAAGTTTCTACCACAGACGGTAGTTCAACCGCAGCCGTAATGCGAAAACCCCTGCCCACCTTACCCCACGGCGGAGCTCGGTTGCAATTTGTAAATACGCGTGGTAGCTGCCGATTTCGCCTCTTCTTGTTTTGTGCGTCATAATTGTCAAAGTGAAGAGTCGCAAAACACAACACTCTCGAAGAGAAAGGAATTTCGTTGGCGTATTTTCGGTTGAAAATTAAAATGGACCCGGTTTCAAGCCTTATCGTGGATGTGCGAGTACTTTGATGCATTCTTGCTCCCATCGGGTGACAGGAAGTTGCGTATGATATAGCTGCTACTCGTATTATCGTTTTATCTGTTGTTCCGGAGCACGCAGTTTAGAACATTTTGTGAACGGTAAGTTGGGACGAAATGTCAGGTTTATTGACATCAATGCCACTGTTATAATTTTGTGCTTAAATGCCTGCTTTCCAGTCTAAGCATCAGTCGACCCTGCACACATTTTGTTATCTGTTTCTGATGCCATTATCTGTCGACTGCAGCCAGCAAAGGTCCGCCATGAAAGTACACGACACGTACCACAGCCTAGACCCTGAGGCTGAAGAATGTTCCTTAAGTTGTAAATCAATCTGGTCTATTTGTGACCTGATTCTTAGTATTCACAAATTATATGTCCAACATTATCCAAAGGTGAAGGAGATCAAATAACACTGTCATGGTATGGGGTTGGAATTGTGCAGCAGGTCGGTATGTTTGTAGCAGTGTCCAAAAATTTGTTAGTTTGGGTGGGAAGCGACACCCAAATGAAAATGATTTTTTACTCTCACCTCCAATTTTCCAGAGCGATTTTTCACTCCCTGTTTTACCAATCGGGAGCATCTGTGTGTACTTTTTACCTGGCTCCCTCCATATTTTATTTAATCATCCTATAATGCAGCTCCCCAGGGCACCCTCTAACATTCCATATGAATTGTTGATCTTTGTTTTCAACTCTTTTTAGTACCTTTCTGACTGGCAATTTTTCACTCTCAAGTCTCAGCCCTCTTTGTAGTGACGAATATTCCCCTCCGACACCCAAGCCAAAATATATTTTTGGGACACTGGTTTGTAGATGAAGTAGGGTTCGTAAGTTGGTAGGTTGTAGGGGTAGTTGTAAAGCAGGCAATGGCATCACACTTGTTTTTTTACAGCCAAGGAGAGGTGGCATCAGGTATAGAGATGCTTTCTAATCAAACCAAACCAAACCTAACCTGGTATCGGTAACCCTGGCGTCACCGGTAGCGTTTTCGTTCAAGGTTAAGGTTTCCTGTATTAGGCAGTATTAGGCCACCGTGCCAAGCCGAAGCATGCTGTGACGTCACTGGGTAAGAGAACGTACCACGCTATCAGTATCGACTGAGACTCAGATAGACTCAGAACGACTCAGGCAGACTCAAACTAACTCAGACTGACTCAACTGACTCAAATAGATTCCGATCGACTCAGACCGACTCAGAACGACTCAAACTGACTCAGACCGACTCAACCGACTCAAATCGATTCAGATCGACTCAGACCGACTCGGAACGACTCAACCGACTCAAATAGATTCCGATCGACTCACCCGATTCAGACCGACTCAACCGACTCAAATCGATTCCGATCGACTCAGACAGACTCAGAACGACTCAGGCAGACTCAAACCGACTCAGGCAGACTCAAACTGACTCGACCGACTCAGAACGACTCAAACTGACTCAGACCGACTCAACCGACTCAAATCGATTCCGATCGACTCAGACCGACTCAGAACGACTCAAACTGACTCAGACCGACTCAACCGACTCAAATCGATTCCGATCGACTCAGACCGACTCAGAACGACTCAAACTGACTCAGACCGACTCAACCGACTCAAATCGATTCCAATCGACTCAGACCGACTCAGAACGACTCAAACTGACTCAGACCGACTCAACCGACTCAAATCGATTCCAATCGACTCAGACCGACTCAGAACGACTTAGGCAAACTCAAACCGACTCTAGCAGACTCAAACTGACTCTATTTGAGTCGGTTGAGTCGGTTTGAATCCGCCTGAGTCTGTCTGAGTCGTTCTGAGTCTTTCTGAGTCGCTCGGAATCGAGCTGAATCAGTCTGAGTCTGCCTGAGTCGGTTTGAGTCTGCCTGAGTCTATCTGAATCGGCCCGAGTCTGCCTGAGTCGGTTTGAGTCTGCCTGAGTCGTTCTGAGTCTTTCTGACTCGCTCGGAATCGATTTTAGTCGGTTTGAGTCTGCCTGAGTCGTTCTGAGTCTGTTTGAGTCTGCCTGAGTCATTCTGAGTCTGCCTGAGTCCTCGGAATCGATTTGAGTCGGTTTGAGTCCGCCTGAGTCGTTCTGAGTCGGTCTGAGTCGATCGGAATCGATTTGAGTCGGTTGAGTCGGTCTGAGTCAGTTTGAGTCGGTCTGAGTCAGTTTGAGTCGTTCTGAGTCGGTCGAGTCAGTTTGAGTCTGCCTGAGTCGGTTTGAGTCTGCCTGAGTCGTTCTGAGTCTGTCTGAGTCTGCCTGAGTCATTCTGAGTCTGCCTGAGTCCTCGGAATCGATTTGAGTCGGTTTGAGTCCGCCTGAGTCGTTCTGAGTCGGTCTGAGTCGATCGGAATCGATTTGAGTCGGTTGAGTCGGTCTGAGTCAGTTTGAGTCGTTCTGAGTCGGTCGAGTCAGTTTGAGTCTGCCTGAGTCGGTTTGAGTCTGCCTGAGTCGTTCTGAGTCTGTCTGAGTCGATCGGAATCGATCGGAATCTATTTGAGTCGGTTGAGTCGTTTGGAGTCGGTCTGAGTCGATCGGAATCTATTTGAGTCGGTTGAGTCGTTTGGAGTCGGTCTGAGTCGATCGGAATCGATTTGAGTCGGTTGAGTCGGTCTGAGTCAGTTTGGGTCGTTCTGAGTCGATCTGAGTCGATCGGAATCTATTTGAGTCGGTTGAGCCGGTCTGAGTCAGTTTGAGTCTGCCTGAGTCAGTTTGAGTCTGCCTGAGTCGTTCTGAGTCTATCTGAGTCTCAGTCGATACTGATAGCGTGGTACGTTCTCTTACCCAGTGACGTCACAGCATGCTACGGCTTGGCACGGTGGCCTAATACTGCCTAATGCAGGAAACCTTAACCTTGAACGAAAACGCTACCGGTGACGCCAGGGTTACCGATACCACCTAACCTAACCTTACCTACAACCTACAACCTAAAATCTGCAACCTAAAACCTGGTACCGCCTAAAACCTACAATCTAACCTACATTGCCTCTCCTTAGTTGCAAAAAAACAAGTTTGATGCCCACTTTACTACTACTGGTTGTAGGTTGGTAGGTTAGTAGGTTGTAGGTCGGCAGGCTCAAAGTTGTAGGTCAGTAGGTTAGCTTAGGTCAGGTTAGAATATGTTTTTATCTTCGCTGTACTTCATTCTCACCTTTACCAGAAGGGGTCACTGAATTTCAGCTGCTGGAATAATTGATCATTTGAGTCCCTTTGGCTGAGTTTCATTTCACAAAGAAATAATTCTAGGATAACAGCTGTAAGGACTTCACCATTAAATAGCTTTAAAACTAGTTCCTTATAAAAGGAGTATGAAAAACTTGAAAATAAATTATGAAATTGAATTACTCAGTCTTTTCATAGATTTTCACCTTGGTCCTGAGGTCAGGTATACAAAGAGTAAGATTGCCAGATGTGGTTATTTGTAGCATCATGCTGTCACTCAAATCTGCTAGCCACCGGAAACTGTGGATGTGAAAAATGGGTTGTTTGTGCCAAAGAAATTGATATTTCCATAACAGCAATCATTTCTCTACATGGTTGGTTGAAGTTGTGGGAAAAGTAAAGGAATAGAAGTAGGTATTGCAAGTGCAAGGCACCAGCAACTTTTTTATTGGAAACATTCACTGTTATGTGGTATGCAGGCACTCTTAAGCATTGGGTGAAGCAATACTTGAACATTGATTTACATTAATATTGTTTTTGCAATGTCAAGTACGTATATACTGAGATCAGTCTTCATAGTCCTACCAGTACCTACCTCAGTTTTGTTTTACAACTATTGTGTGGTTTTTAATTTTGAACTATGAAATGGACATTCACAAAACAAAGTGTTATGATGCCTACTCTTTACCATTAGATGCCATATCCTGGACACATCAGTCACCTGTGCTCTTTTATTTATTGGAAATCCCTTGCAATAAGTATCACCTATGTCATTTTTGTGTACCTAGATTGTTGGCTTTTAATTTTGGTATCAAAGTATTTTTTCTATTTCTATGCTTGCCTAAATAATTAGTGCTATTAAACCTAGAGGTGTATTCTGACCTGCTCATCAGATAATGCAATTATACTCCTTTGTTATTTTTTTTCTATCCAGAATGCATTGCTAATGCCTGCACATCATAGAGCATGCTTGATTTCCATATTGTTGCTGGTGAAAATTGCTGTGAACCGTGTCATGCACTATGTATTGCAATATGTTTCACTTTTCTCCTATTTCTTCACAGGCTCTGTTCATATGACCATTTTCTCCCAAGACTACTGGCTGCCGCCTGACCCCCAAAGAGCGCGGACTGACGGGTCACCAATGAGTTCCCCACTGCCAAGCCAACCATTTGGCTCCCTCTACAACAACCAGATCTCAGGTATGTGGCTAATCTGATATCGGGAAAAGCGTTATGAACGTTCAAAACATATGTTGGTCGTCATGCATCATCTTATATCATACCCAACAAGTAAGAGTATTTTTACAAATACCCAATGCAATGATTCCAACTTCAGCAGCGCCGCCACTCCACACCACTCCCTCTGGGCACCTGCAGGTATGGGGAGCCTGGGCCTGCAACAATCGGCCGCGCGCGGCATGGCCTCGCGAGGATTCGGCAACAACGGCCTGCCGGGCGGCCACGTGACGCCCACCTCTGGCGGCTTTCCGTCGGGCCTGGTGAGCGGTCTGCCGCAGGCGGGCCAGGCGTCACCGAGCCGCGGCCTTCTACCCATCAGCCGGGGCGGCGTCATCGGCCCGCAGCAGCGGCCCATCGGCAGCATGGGCGACATGATGGGACGCCAGCCGGGCGCGCTAGGGTGAGTTAGAGAGTGGGATGGGAGTAGAACGTAGGACGGGGGATGTGGGTCGGAGTAGAGTTTTGGCGGTGTAGTTGAATGAGATCAGTGTAGTCTGGAAAACAGACAAGTGCGGAAGATTGGATGTAGCCAGCATGCGGATTGCTACGTCTTGCCTGAACGGTTTCATTCAAGTTTTCGAAACATCTCATCAGGCTTGCGAGTCTGGCTGCCGTGCAAATGCAAAAACTACTATGTGAGGTCAGACTCCGACCTCACATAGTAGTTTTTGCCTTTACACGGCGGCTGGATTATCATCATCATTGTTTGACGCATTCATAGAAACGTAATTGGCTTTGTTGACCACAGGCACTCGTCTCAAGGGAATGCCATTGATTCAAAATCAGGAATAGATTGACCAATGACAGCGATTGATCGATGACGGAAAATATGCATACCTCGTGCTTGTTTGAACTCCGTGCCCTGTAGTGGGTGTTTCATATCCATCACGCGTTAGCCGCGTTCAGAGTTTATTGACTGTCCCGGTCGTAAGGTTTACGTATTCGTAAACATCGACGGCCGTATAATCAGACGTGTCTCATCTGATGTTTTGCCTACCATCTAGCTACTCTGTCAACTTGCATCATGAGGTGATTATTTGGTATCCGACGGCCTAGCCGACCATCTCTATCCGATGTTTGGGTTCGCCTGTAACTAGATCACGCTATCCCGTATTAGCCGTGGGACCATATTTGGATGACGTTATCCAAACACTCTGTCTGGAGTTTGTCTAGTTCGCGGCCGCAGACGGCACAGACGTGGTGCCGATTTAGCGCAATCGACCGCGCTGAGACGGTTGGTCTGTCTATCGTGAATTCACTACGAATGCGTAGTAAATTCAGTTTTACGTTGTGGTGCATAGCTTGTGGGCGAGAAATTCGTATTATAGATGTGCTTTTCGTCGCATTCGACCTGCCAGCAGCACCTGACACCTCTTTCTTCGTTGACCTAAGACCTGAAGGTCCGATTGCGCTCCAACGAGACCTGAACTGCGGCGAAGCGTAGTGTCCTGGTCTGCGATGCCCCGACGTGCGGTGACCTGACCTGCTGTGACCTCTCTCTGGCAGGGTGGGTAGCGGCCGGTCGGCGTTGGGCACCTTCGGCATGCCGGGCCGCCCGCTCTCGGGCCAGCCGTCCATGATGGGCGTGTTCGGCCCCCCTCTGAGCGGAGCCGGCGACAACGCGCCTCCTCAGCTCGACCTCTCCGAGTTCCCGAGCCTATCGAACCGGGCGCACGGGGAGCCGCCGCCCAGCCCCGCCATCAGCAGGACACCATACGGTACGTACCACCACGGTCATCAGCAGGACACCATACGGTACGTACCACCACGGTCATCAGCAGGACACCATACGGTACGTACCACCACGGTCATATTCAGCAGGACACTGCGGTACGTGATCCTTCTGACTACCAGGACACCTTGTACTCTCCCCCCCGCCATCAGCAGGACACCCTACGGTGCGAAATCCCTCCGACGTTACCAGGACGCTCTGTACTCCCCCCGCCATTAGCAGGGCACCCTACGGTACGAAATCCCTCTGACATTACCAGGACACCCTGTACTTCTCCTTCTGCCATCAGCAGGACATCCTTTGCTCCCTCGGCCATCAGCATCAACCTACTGCACCTACTCGATTACTGCACATAATATCTCCGGTAAATACGCTGGCGTGTTACTTGCTTCGTAGCGTATAATTTCTTATCAGCGATCATGGATAGTGAGTTCGCTGAAAACAACAGTACATATACAAATAGATACATTATCCCCGTTCACTAATACCAGTATAGCGCCTTTTGGGGCGACTAACGGAGCGAGCGAGGGGGTGAGTCTTGCACGTGCGAAATTTCGAGGGGTACCTCCAACTGACTTGTGCACGGCACCCTACTGACCGGTCTCTAGCGATGTGCCAAATTTGAGCACAATCGGCCCAGCCGTTCTCGAGATCTGGGAGCGGCACCCTGCACGTGCGCACGTGCAAAATGGGTCCCAACTGACTTGTGCACGGCACCCTACTAACTGGTCCCTAACCGTGTACCAAATTTGAGCGCCATCGGTCCAGCCGTTCTCGAGATCTGGAAATGACCCCTGCACGTGCGCACGTGCAGCAGCACCCCAACTCTGGCACATGGATATGCAGTGCCTAGTAGGTGCCTACCTACATGCCAACTTTCAGCGCAATCGGCCAAGTAGTTACCGAGATATTGCAACAATTACAAAACTGACACCTCTTCGTTTTGCACGTGGCACGTGCATAAGGGGTCACCCACACGCATCGGGAATAGTCCAATACTTGGTAGAAGGAATGAAGCTACCCTACAAAAATTACCGCGTGTAAATCGGTCAAGTGGTTGCTGAGATATAAGCCTCGCAAAAGCGTCCGCACGGCCGGCCGGCCGGCCGCTCATACTCAGAAATTTCCGTTAATCTAAGGAAAGACTCCGCTCGCTTCGCTCGCTCCGTAACTAACGACTTATCAGCAGCGTTGTCATTAATCTGTGACTTGCGGGTAGATAAGCATGACAATCGCTATCGGTATTGTTTGCTACTGCGTAGTTTATCTATACGGGAATCAAGCTCGAGCCTGTTATTTGTTCTACCGGGAACGATATTGCGTTGTCCGACCGGCCAAGCGTTATTACTAGCCCTCGCTTTGTGGCCGAGCTGATAGAGTTATTGACGTGACTCATGCTGACGTCACGATCATGAGTTGCTAGGGGATTGTTTGGTCGTCCTCTGGGGACGTCTATTGTGCTGATTGACTTGTGCAAATATGATATATTAAAAAGCATTTTGCTTGCTATATGCGGAACTTGGGTCAATACTTTGTGTTCAAAATTTGACCACGAGTGTCACGCTACTGACTTTACTTCCGCGCAACCGTCTGCAGTGATTTCTAGCTTTGTGTGTTTCTTTCTAGCCTTCGTCAAGTTAAGCTTTTGCAACTTCTGTTGACTTGTCTTGTGTGTAAACCTTGTTTACCCATGAAAAATAACCTTCCTTTTGACCTAGTTGTGTGTCTTCTGACCACCGTTGACCTCCGTTGGCCGTCTGTTCCGACAGTGGGGATGGTCAAACAGCAGACCAACGAGTCGTCCGAGTTCACAATGTCGTCGGAGGACTTCCCCGCGCTGCCAGGCAGCCAGCCGGAGCGGGCCAACCAGTCGGACCAGGGCATGGAGAACTCGGGCTCGCTGGCGATCGGCGGATCGTCGGCGAGCAAACAGCAGAAACAGGGCATCCAGACGCACCCAGACGGTCAGTTGGCCGGCGGCGGGGGAAGAGGAATAGGGCAGTTGAAGGGGAGGGGGACGTGACGATAAACTGCTGGGTTATTCTTGTATGTGAACGCTTGAGAAATTCAGACGAGATTGCTTTCGCGTTTCTCGTGTTTGTCCTTTGCAGTGATATTTGACAAGGTACGTTCAACGCTCAGATTGTATATCAAAGATGAATCCGTATGTTTAGAGTGTCAGTTTGTGATGTAACTGTTCAATACCTGATTGTGCGAGACGGTGCGGGAGCCATTGCCACTATCGTTCCAACACACTCCATCGCTGCCTTTCTAACACATTCCGCCTCTTCTCACTCTCGTCTCATCCGTAGGCAAGGTGACCAACATCCCTGCGAGTATGGTGGCCGACCAGTTCGGCATGGTCGGCTTCCTGTCGTTCATCCGGACGGCGGAGACGGACCAGAACATCGTCCAGCTGGCGCAGGGTTCCGACCTCACCACGCTCGGGCTCAACCTCAAATCGCCAGAGAACCAGTACCTGACGTTCGGCGGAGCGTGGGCAGAGACGCCCTGTCGAGCGCAGGATATTGACTTCTACGTGCCGCGCGAGTACCTCACCAATGGCGTCACCAGGTCAGTGGTGATAAATGGAGGGAGAGGGAGCTAGTGGTGACGGGCCGCGCGAGTACCTCACCAATGGTGTCACCAGGTGGCAGGTGAGTGGTGATAGACGAAGAGGGTGAGGGACCTAGTAGTGACGGGCCGCGCGAGTACCTCACCAGTGGCGTCACAAGATGGATGGTGGTGACCGGGTGGTTTAGAGGGGGGAGGGGGTATTGTGGGCAGAAACGATCGTCTCAGTGAGCTATGAGTCATTACTGCGGCCCTGGAATTCATGTTGGATTTTTATGCATGCGTTCACTGTTTTGGGAGTTTAAGCGTGCAACGATCATTCTAGCTGACCGGTCCCAATAATCAATTAAAAGCAACATAGGCGTAGGAACAGGGGGGGGCCAGGTGGGCAAGTGCCCACCCACTTTTCGAGGTGGGGGGGGCCAACCATGTGTTTTGGCCCACCCACTTTTTACTCGAGGCCCCCTCGTCTCGATTTGAGAGGACGTCGTCACCTTCCAGAATAAACAAACTCGGTAAAAATAAGTTTCACGAATCCCTACGCACGGACTCCAAGGGGCCGTGATGGATCCAAGGAGGCCCTCTGTTCATACTTGTCAGTCGAAGCCCCTGAGACTGATGGCCTGAGAGGCCCTAGTGGATCTGAGGAGGCCCAATATCCACACTGAGGCCCCTGACACTGGCGGTCTGGGAGGCCCCTCTATCCACACTAGTCAGAGGTCTGAGACTGGTGGTCTTGGAGGCCCCTCCATCCACACTCATGGGTGTAACTTTGTATACTTTCGAGGTCCCATGTGGGACCCCAATGCGAACATTTGGGACCCCAATTGTCATTTTGGGACCCCAATAGTGGAGGCCCCCGAGACGCATCAGCTTCTTTGCAAACGGAGGTCCGATATTCATATAAAAGGTTCTCTATTTAAATAGGAGGCCCCTTGGACAAATCGGAGGCCCTGTTGGACAAATAGGAGGCCCCCTGAACAAGTAGGAGGCCCCCTGAACAAGTAGGAGGCCCCCTGAACAAGTAGGAGGCCCCCTGAACAAGTAGGAGGCCCCCTGAACAAGTAGGAGGCCCCCGGAAAACAGGAAGTCCCCTGGAGAAATAGGAGGCTCTCTGGACAAGTAGGAGGCCTCCTGGACAAATAGGAGGCCCTAGACAAATAAGAGGCCCCTAGACAAATAGTAAGCCCCATGGACAAGTAGGAGGCCCTCTGTACAAATAGGAGGCCCCCCTGCAAAAATAGGAGGCCCCCTGGACAAATAGGAGGTCCTAGACCTAGACAAACAGGAGGCCCCTTTCACAAAAGGAGGCCCCTGGACAAATAGGAGGCCCCATGGACAAGTAGGAGGCCCTCTGTACAAATAGGAGGCCCCTGCAAAAATAGGAGGCCCCCTGGACAAATAGAAGGTCCTAGACCTAGACAAAAAGGAGGCCCCTTTCACAAAAGGAGGCCCCCTGGACAAATAGGAGGCCCCTTTCACAAAAGGAGGCCCCTGGACAATTAAGAGGCCCCCTGAACAAGGAGGCCCCCTGGATAAAGTGGAAGCCCCCTAAAAATAGGAGCCCTCTGGATAAATAGGAGGCCGCTTGGAAAATAAGAGGCTACTTTAACCAATAGGAGGCCCCTTGGACAAATAGGAGGCCCCTTGGACAAATAGGAGGCCCCTTGGACAAATAGGAGGCCCCCTGAACATGTAGGAGGCACGCTGGACAAATAGGAGGCCTCTTGGGCAAAGAGGCCCCCTAGAAAAATAACAGGTCCCTTGGACAAATAGGAGGCCCCCTGGACAAATAGGGGACCTCTTGAACAAATAGGAGGCTCCATGGACAAGTAGGAGCTAGAGGCTCTCTGTACGAATAGGAGGCCCCCTGGACAAATAGAAGGCTCCCTTAACAAAAAGGAGTCCCTTAAAAAAAAAGGAGGCCCCGGGACAAGTAGGAGACCCTTGGACAAATAGGAGGCCCCTGCACAAATATGAGACTCCTAGTCGAATAAAAGACCCCTGGATAAATAGGAGGCCCCTGGACAAATAGGAGGCCCCTGAACACGTAGGAGGCCCCCTAGATAAAGAGGAGGCCCCCTGGAAAATAGAAGCCCCCTGGATAAATAGGGGACCTTCTGGAGAAACAGGAGGCCTCCTGGACAAATAGGAGGTCCCATAGACGAATAGGAGGCCGCTTGGACAAATAGGAGGCGCCGTTAACCAATAGGAGGCCCCCTAGACAAACAGGAGGCCCTCTGTAACAGTAGGAGGCTCTCTGTACGTACAAGAGACCGGCGCTCGACCTGTAGAAGCTTAGCCGTATGTACGCTAGGAGGCTCTCTGTGCAAGTAGTCGAAGTAGGAGGCTCTCTGTACTGTACCTACAATTACAAATAAGAGGCCCCCTGGGTAACTTAGATGCAACACAAATCGGAGGTCACCTATAAAAAAGCGGGACTCTGTTGGAATACCTGATTTAATAAATTATTTTCCTGATATTCAAATTACTTAGGTAATCCTCGTCCGCACATGGGGGGGGGGGGGGGGCAGTGGTTGCCACACCCCCCACCCCGACCTAGGTAGTTTTTTCTGCTCTGCACTAAACATTTTGATTGCTAGAAGTCGGATATTTCGTATAGCTGCTGCTCTATCCTTTTTTAGCGTCCACTGAAAATTTCAAGTTTCTGTGGTTTTTGGTTTCGGAGATATGACCTTATTCTTCAGGTAATGTCATAACCCAAATGACAAATACCCAATATCTTGCGTTGGCGTTGGGTCTTGTGAGCTTTTGACACCTTGATTTCGGCCTTTTTTGTCAGTCTTACCTCCCACCTATCATGGAACATGTTGTTCAATGATGTAGAGATGCCAGGGTCAGGGTCAAGGTCAACCTAGGTCGTCTAAAAATATTGCGTTTTAGGCAAGCTGAATTTACTTTCGTGAAGTTTCTTTGACTGTATTTTTGGCAAAAGCTTCTCAGTTCATGATCTCATGTAATATGGACACATTCACAGTCGGTGCACACATCAGTATACTCGTACACACAGACACACACAGACATACAAACACATGTCATTGACCTTGAGCTAACTTGACCTGAAATGACCACAGCCAGCAAAAACCTAGTCGGATAGTGTGACAAAGAGGTTCTAGCTGGCTTGGCACCACAATACGGCAGCGTCATCGGTACATGATGAGCAGCGCACGTGATATTCCAACGGGCAACGGTGACCCCAAACAGCAACATTCTTTAGTTTGACCTGACCTGGAAGGTCAATGACTGACCTGATGAGGTAAAATTGGTATCATTGGATTCGTCACTTCCCAAAGAATCTGTTGCTCTTGACCGCAAGGCTTAAAATCTTGTAAGAAAAAATTGTGGTGATGTCGAATAAGATACCTACACAAGCAGCGGGCCAACCCATCATATACCGATGACGCTGCCGTATTAGTGCCAAGCGAGCTAGAACAGCTCTTTGTCACACTATCCGACTAATTTGCTGGCTGTGGTCATTTCACGTCAAGTTAGGTCAAGGTCAATGATATGTGTTTGTATGTCTGTGTATGTCTGTGTATGTACTGATGTGTGCACAGATCGGTTTGTGTGTCCCTATTACACTTGATCATGAAGTGAGAAGCTTTTACTAAACATACAGTCAAAGAAACTTCACGAAAAGTAAATTCAGCTTGCCTAAAGCGCAATAATTTTAGATGACCTAGGTTGACCTTGACCCTGACTCTGACATCTGTACATCGCAGAACAACATGTTCAATGATAGGTGGGAGGTAAGACTGGCAAAAAAAGCCGAAATCAGCGTGTCAAAAGCTCACAAGGCCCATAGCCATCGCAAGATATTGGGTATTCGTCATTTAGGACATGACATGACCTGAAGAACAAGGTCATATCTCCAAACCCAAATGCCGCAGAAGCTTGAAATTTTCAATGGACGCTGAGAAAAGATAGAAAAGCAGCTATACAAAGAAAATCAGGTTTCTAGCTTTAAAAATGTTAAGTGTAGAGCAGAAAAACTAACTTGGGGGTGGCGACCCTCCCCCCAGGTGCCGGCGAAGGTTAACCCTCACACTTTCTGGGGTCGGCTTACGGCTAGATTCCTTGCGCAATGCTGTGCCGTTAATTTTTTTCTATTATAAAGGCATTGTGTTTTATTGTCAAAAGTGAAAAAGCCAGAAATTTTCGTCGATTTCGGATGCCGCGGGGGATATTTACATACAATGTCACCCTGCTGGCCTGGATCCACCAGTAGGGTCAGGTGACCTACCATTTCTTTATCGATATTAAAAAAAAATCATGGCATCAGAGCTGTGACGAAAAATAAGTGGCCTAAATCCGATGAGAAAACTGGATTTGGGGGTACCCTATGTTTGGCTTCTGAGCCTCTGGTCCCCCAATGAAAATTTCTTAGAGGAGGCCCTGGCGTGGCTCGTAAATTACCGCTTCCGCAATTGGAGGCCCCTAATTGCTTGGAGGCCCCCACTAAATGGAGGCCCCCTTGGACGTTTGGGACCCCAATGGTGATGTCAAAGTTTCACCCATGTCCACACTAGTCAGAATAGGCTCCTGACACTGGCGGTCTAGCCGAGGCCCCCTACCCTCACTTGTCAGAGGAGGCCCCTCTATCCTCAATAGTCAGAAGAGGCCCCTGAGACTGATGATCTGGGAGGCCTGTCCATCTATACTGTAGTCAGAGGAGGCCCCTGAGACTGATGACCTGAGAGGCCCTTATGATCACACCAGGCAGAAGAGGCCCATGAGACTGATGGACTGAGAGGCCCTTCTATTCATACTGGCCACAGGAGACCCCCAAAACTTTCGGTCTGGGAGGTCCCTCAATCCACACCAGTCAGAAGAGTCTCCTGAGACTGATGACCTGGGAAGCCCTTATCTTCACACTAGGCAGAAGAGGCCCCTGAGACTGATAGTATGAGAGGCCCTCATATCCACACCAGTCAGAAGAGGCCCCCGAGGCTGATGGCTGTGAGACCTTTCTGTTCATA